TATATATATATAAACTAATTATTACTATATAATATATTATAATACACACATACATATCATTTAACAGGAGAAAATCTCTCACCTTATTCATGTAATGGAATATTTCACTTTTCTAGCTCCTCAGATGAAGCTAAAGACGCACCACTTTAGGAACCTTTTCATGCTGATTTACCCACATAAGTAATTTAAAATTTAATCTTCAGAGTTAAGTTTCAGAGAAAAATGTTTTCGAAATGCAAACAAATAATGGCAGGGGATCGGTGAGAGACGGGGGTGAGCAGGAACGAACAGTGTTTCCCAACTTACCGAAACTGCAGTGTGGAAAGGGCAGGGCACGAACAAAGTTTTGGCAATCCACGTTTAGTTTGGAGTAGAAAGGGTCATTATCCGGATAGTAGATGGGGGCACATCTGGGGTCATTCCTTTTGGCAGAATCACAGCAATTATAGAGCTCATTATTTCCTGCAAATGTAAGAGCCTGCTATAAGACAAATATGTCAGCACATAAGAAATTATGTTCTTAATTATCAAGCTTAAAAAATTGGTTATGGAGATTCATATGGAATCATTTAATCCTTGAAGTATGTAAATTAATCTAGTCGAGACTTATACCATAATCCCAATTAATTTCATTTAATTTGCGTGGAGTCCAGCATTGAACTGATCGTAAGGACACTGTTCCCAGTAGAACACCGAAGTCAAGCATCACTAGCTGCTGTCAGTAAGCGGGTGGGTGACCACTTTGAAGAGTCTGCGTAGGGGCCGAGGGTATTTGTCCTCGTTAAACTGTTCTACCGTGAAGTGTACGACTTTGTGCGCAGGTCGTTGGGCTACCAAGGCAAGGGAGCCATCTTCTCTGGAGAACATCAAAATTGCGACGGCATATCTTCGGATTATTCTCAGGGATGTTTACCAAATCGTCCCCAATAGCCCATTGTGCAGCTCTAGTGAGATCTAAATGAAGTACCTGCCTACCTGCAATACGTGGAATGGAATCATATGCATGTGAAATAGTCAGTCTAAAACATTTGCGACAAAAGGATGTCTTTTAGATTCCAATCCAATCATACGATTAATTCTATAGTAAATATTGGATGTAACTAAATTGAACCTCCTATTTTTAAATAATCCACAATTGCTTAATTGCGTGCAAAATATTTGAATTCACTTAAAAAGTTCCAGAGATATGGCCAAATACGCAAAAAGTAAAATTAACACTAAGCGGTACCTAACTTTGGATCCCTCTCCTGACTAAACTATGGGAACCATATTTCCCAGATTGCAGCTACCCCCTATATTTTGAAGGTTAGGAATCCAAATATGTCAACAACAAAAAATATATGTTTATTCAGGGAATAAAGTACGTTTTTGTGTCCGATTTCGAAATTAATTAATCATTAACACTTAATTATATGCATATACCCCCAGGAACCATTAAGATTCACACTTAGTACATGAAAATTCGATCATTAGAATTATTCAGGGTAATATATATATATTTTTTTTTACTTCGAATTTCCTCATTTTAAAGCTATTCTACACACTATTATGTATATACATACATAGTGACCTATAGAGCCCCCTATTAGGCCTATAATTATTTCCTCTGGTAAGGTACACTAATTCCCAGTAATATAATACGTGGTCCAGTTTGAATAATATGGGTCAATATTAAGGGGAGATATAGGGCCATGTTGTAATACAGAATATTGACTTCTAATTTCTTTATTTTAATGCTATCCAACACACTATTATATGTATACATACATAGTAACCTACAAACTGTACAAACACAATTTTTTAAAGAGTAATCCTTGCTTAAAATTATTAAACTTTAGTTTTTGATGTAAGTAGGTAAAAGATGGTAAACAATTCTTTGTGTAACATTCAAGATTTGATCAGTCTTTTTTAAGTAAGAAGTATATTCAGTTAAATATTAGTTTGTCAGTATAAATTCAAAGAGAAATGGTAGCTACGAACATCATTCTGCAAAATGGTGTCAATTGTTTAAAAAATATGTCAGTGTGTTTACACTAATGTTGTTGTTGTCGTGTCTATGCATGCAGTGCTAGTGCAAAGATTAGAGTTCTCCAAAAGTCTTGATAACAAGATTTGCAAGTTCTGGAGCCCGTTGGCCGTGGAGAATTTCGATGGAGGGTCCTCCAAGTTAAAAGAGGGAGCTGATAATGGCCTGGCAGTCAAGAGCATGGTCTGGAGTTAGTTGCAAATGAGGACAGTACTTGCAGATGGGACAGGATTTAACATTGGTGCGTGAGATCTTCATACCTTTGAAATATCTAGTACGTAGCCTAGCTATTGTAGAGGAGAAGTTTCTTGGGCAGTTTAGATCGGGGATTGTTGCCTCGCTAAAAAGCTGGTTGAATATCCTTCGCCTGGAAGCAGCATTCGCATCTGCACAGGTGACAGCTCGAGGTTGATTTTCGTCGAGTGCACGTTTACACTAATACATGCTATAAATATATTCTTCAAACTAGATAATATGAGCTACAGTAAATATCGGAAGTTCTTGAAGATAGGTTTACTATACGTGTAGGTTCCCAACCTTTATGGACCACAACAGTTTTTAAAGTCCCTTTTTTTCCTTTCTTAAAAATTTTTAATAAGAAAAACTTTTAATCATATTGCTAGGTACGAAAATTCATCATCATCAAAATTTACCCGGGTGTCTTAAGCAGTTAGCTGCCTTTTTTACCATTCATCTTGAAATTTTATCTTTAAAATGGCTCTTTTTGGAAATTGAAGTGAAAGGAAAATTACATATTTTGCATTTTAGAAAATGTTGCGTTGCTACAAAAATAAGCTGCAACTGGTTTATGTCTTCTCTCAAGTTTTCAAAAGTAAAAAACTCATTCAATCCTGTGGTGTCACAAATTTACGGTCTTTCTCACAAAATTTGCAATATTATAATCTAAATAATCTATGTTGAAATCGTGATGTATTTCGGATAAACCATCTTTCTTGGGTTATTTTTCAGTGTATTTTATTCCTGGCATCTTTTGAGTTTCTCTTGGAGTGATGACAGATGTTGCACCAAGCTAGAGATGCAGATATTAGGATCATTGAGGTGTAGAGTAAGCGTTGAAGTCTGCGTTCCATATTAAAGTTCTGAGGAAGGATTTGTAATTTGTGTCCGGTTGCTTGTATTTTGTTGATAACTGCTTTGATATGATATTTCCAATTAAATTTACTGTTTATGACTAAATCAACATATTTTGCGCTTTTGACAATTGGAATAGTTTCGTTAAAGAGAACAACTTGATTTTTTGAGATTATGAGGTTTGTAAATTCAATTAATTCAAAATAATAATAGTTTGCTTACTTGTAAAAACGGGTGTCATAACCATGTCGTGTGCTACAAATTGTCCGAAGAAGGTGAATAGAGCAGATACTGAAGCTGAGGGATGATTTTCACTCTTCATTTTCAAAGAAATGGTTCTTGGTGCAGGCAGCTCCTTACAGCTAACTGACTTACGGAAACCACTTGCCCCTGAAAAAAATATATATGCGTAAAAACTGATTTTATACACTTTTTGAAAATAGAATTGGCGTCTCAAAGTTAAGCGATTCTTCACACTTTTGCATGGTTCAACAAATCTTGCCTTTTCCCCACGTATCAGAAAGAAGTTGGAATATTCTGGCACGCGTAAAAGCAAGATTATATTCTTTGTAATTAGAATAGGCGTCTCGAAGTTACGCGATTCTTCACACTTTTCCATGATTCAACAAATCTTGCCTTTTCCTCACGCATCAGTAAGAAGTTGGAAGTGGCACACGTAAAAGCAAGATTATATTCTTAGTAATTAGAAAAGGCGTCTCAAAGTTACGCGATTCTTCGCACTTTTCCATAGTTCAAGAAATCTCTTTCTTTCCCCACGTGTCAGTAAGATGTTGGAATATTCTTACACTCGTAAAAGCAAGATTATTTACTTTGTAATTAGAATAGGCGTCTCAAAGTTACGCGATTCTTCACACTTTTCCATTATTTCGCAAATCTTTTACGCGATTTGGCCTCTCTCTGATATCACAGTTTTGGCGATTCTTGCTTTTTCCGAACTCTCGAATATTCCAACATCTTATTGAAACGTACTGTCATGGGGAAGCAAAGGAGAGATATTTGCCAAAACCATGTTAACAAAGAGTGGAAAAGTGTAGAGAGTGGGAAAATCACATAACCTTGAGACGTCTATTCTATTCACAAAGAGTATAATAAGGGCTCAACCATCGCAATATGAGATATTGTTTTTTAGAGAATATCATGCTACTTTTATAATTTCTATGAATTTGCAACAGCTAATCATAGCGGTTTATGTTAAGTTTAATAAATCTATAGCAAATGCCGTCTTTGCTAATTATGAAAAAAGATCAAAATATCAATGAAAAATACTGGGTGATTCCAATGTTCTGTACCCCACATGACAAACAATATTAATATATTTGTCAAAAGAATTTTGTAATTCCGTGTCTATGCATGAAATATCTTTAGTATCAAATGTAAATACGTAAAAATTTTATTAATAGCCATTAAAAAATCTGAGTAAAATTATAGTATCTAATTGTCTCTTCACTGGGGAATCATTCCACATTTTTATGAAAATAAAAAAAAAATTTATGATCAAACTTTTAAGCACGAGAAACGTTTATCCAACACTGCAGTTTTTGATCTGATTTAGATAGATCAGATTCTAATGATTTTCATGTAAATGGAAAAATTTCGTCAAATTGGCGATCTTAGTAAAGTATAATTACTATATATATATTTAATATCGAAGCTATTTGTGCGTCTTAAAGTAAAAAGAATATTTTGTTCAACAAGCTAATAAATTTCGTTTTAAAATAAAGTCTTGCTTAGAGTTTAATGCACTTAAACTAAAGCTTTTTAATTTTCTTTTGACGAAAGTGCTTTTAACAGTTATTTTAAGTGATTTTAACATTAAGTTTAAGGTTAAAGTTTATTTATTTTAAAACTTTAACATTTAAGTTTTATTTAATTTAGATTTAGCCGAGAAATGAACCACGATTACATAGTGGTAAAAGCACTGAGCTGCTATTGTGATGTACTGGGATTCAATCCCTGTTCATGATTGGCTTGGAATACTAATGCACGGCTGGTAACAGAAACAAACAGTAAGAAAAGAGTAAAAAAAGGTCAAATCGGGACAGCCAAAAAAGTGTGTTCTTTCTAAATTTAGCAAGCATGTCCCCATTTTTAACAATACATCTATGAATAGCAAAAACAATTTCTCCCTTCAAACTCACCAGAATTACTTTATCATTGATATCTTATGAAATGCAGCAGATTTGTGCACAGAAATTGTATTATATATTTATTTCATTAAAAACAAAATTATCTGTTTGAAAATATCGCCTCGTAGCTTTAGTAAGCAGCTGTATACTTTCGAACACTATCATTAATCAAATTTCTGCATTTTATAAATTTTCATGCTATAGTTCGTTCCCCAGGAATTGGCACTTGGTTCCACCTCCTCGGACACTGAGTTCATTTCAGCGCGGGAGTAAAAGGAGAAACATCTCCGCCCTTGAAACTGAGACAACCCTTAATGCATGCCAAACTCAAACAGTGAATTCTATAATACGTTTCGTCACTCTAGCTAATTAAATATATTTTGAATTTAAAAACTGCTGCTTTCTCAGCGAAATGTCTCAAAAAGGACAAACTATTCACTCAAAAGAGAGAAATATCATTAAATTTATGAAATATTTAATGTTAAAAAAATGCAAATAGAGATTGCGAAATAAATATTTTTGTCATACGATCGCCAAATAATGACCTTGTTCAGGATTGTTCACATCCTTCTCCCAAAAATAGCGAGATAGTATCGTCGAATACCACGTGATGAAGGCGGAGCCAAGTGCCAACTCCTGGTGAACGAACTATAATTTAGTTAAAGCACGTCGACAGGATGGAATAGACACAAAAAAGAACATCAATTTTTTCATAAAAATGATGGTTGTACGCCGAAACGGCTGCTATAAATAAATATGTAAAAGTACCTTCATAAGCAGGTGGCAAAAGTCTAACTTGTTGAGAGAAAGTGCTTCCCCACATAGGATGTATGAGATTGTTGCAAGTACCGTCCAGAGTTCTGTAGATGGATGCGTGGCAGGGAGGATGAAGATGCAGTTCTTCACATTCCTGGATGATTTTCTTCACGTGTGGTTCTTCTCGGAGTTTATCAATGATTTCATCCCTTTCTTCAACTGGTGCGTCATACCTGCCCAAGTCAAATATTTTTATGGTTTTCCATTGATGGAACAACATAATCTTGATGATAACCATCAATAATTCCATTATGAACCGTTATATTTTTTATAGTAACCAACATAAGTAACCATCACCCCAATGTTGGAATTCGGGCTGATTTGTGATAGTCCAGCATAAGAATAGCAACTTGTTTTGATGGTTTGTTCATGTTGAACATTTCCATCATAGTATCTTAGAAATCAAATGTCGGAAAGATTATGAACAACTACCATCCCAATGTAAGAATTCGTAGTGATTTTTGATGGTTCAAGATGGGGGGAAATTGCTTTGATGGTATATTCCTGCTGAACCAACAATAATTCCCATTAAACCATCATGGACCATTATAGATTGTTGGTTCATGAGAATCAAACTTCTCTTTAGGGTTAATCATCATAGTATTAGAGTAGCATTTTCCATCATGGAATGATAAAATTTTGCTGGCATATCAAAAACCATGAATGCATAATGTAAAAATGTTGGATGACGGTGACCATCAAATGATGTTGGACCATCATGAAACGCACTTAAACCAACGTAAACCATCAGGTTTGATGGAACCATCAAGAATATTGACGTGGGTAAACATTCTAATGAATTCAAAGGCATTGAATACAACTTTTGCACTATAATCTATCTTATTATATAAAACGCTAATACGTACATATGTATGTATGTATCAATAAAACCGATGATATTTCTTTTCTCGTGCTGGCAACAGTTTTCATTTTTAATTGATTGGATTCGGCGCGCAAGAGCACGTAGTGAGCAACCAGATAACAATAACCAGAGTGAGCATTATCAGGTTGTTCAATTCAGATTCATGCACTAAAAACATGACAATATTTAATTTAAACTCAATTAGGAATTAATTAATTAATTGAAGTGAGAATGCTTTAAAAGGCCGCTGTTGAATTGATATTTTTCTACTGGGAGCTACCTAAACGTCTAAAAAACGTTTAAGTGTTTGTATTGAATGCATTGAATTTTTTTATATTTCGCGTTTATTTATGCATTGAATTTTCACGCTTTAAAATGCAGAATATTAGTGAAGCAATATTTGATAATTTATTTTGCTAATATGTTTCTTATTTAGCTAATGTTTTGATTTTTTCACCATGTACAATCTAAATAGCTAATATACTTTTTTAAAAGCCAATAAGAACATTGGTAGAATTCTTCTACATAAGTACAATACTATGTCTTTGATGATAAAATACTATGTCTTTGATGATAATATATTATGTCTTTGTGCTAGAACATTGTGTTCATTGGCGAGCGAGCGCAGCGAGCCATGGTTCACGGCGTGAACCACATAGGATTGCGTAGCAATTCTCGGGGGTTGGCGAGCGTTAGCGAGCAGGGGGCGGAGCCTCCTAGTTATTTAAAATTGTTTTTAACACGAAATTTTCTTACGGTAAACCAATGTTATAATTGTGTGAAAAACTTTTGTTTACAAAAGTTTGTGTGCAAAAGTTAGTACATGCAAAAAGGCAAATTAATATTGAAGAGTTAACATTGAAGTTAACAAGTTCACGCTTACGGCTGCTCTCCGACCAAAACTATCGGTCAAAACATCAGTCGAAATAATGTATGTTCATCAAGGAAAAGTACGTTTTTGTTTCTGTTTCTCTGATTTAATTAATAGTTTGCACAAATTAATTAGTACATTTGAGATCACCCTCTTGAACCATTAAGGTTGGGACTTATTTCGCAAAAATCCGATAGAAAAGTTATTTAAGTTGATATTTTTTACTTTGAGCATTGTACTACAAGCATCATTCTGTTGTAACTATTGTGACCATATTTTCCAGATTACTACCCCTATTTTGATGTTCAAAAATTCAAATCTGTAGACAGAAAAGAAAGTAAGTAAGTTTATATGTCTGAATCAGTGCTGAAGTTGGATGGGGGGAAAGCTGTTCCCCCGAAATATTTGATTCGCTGTAATAAATTTTTTTAAAAAAGAATTGAAGCTTTTTTTTTCATTTTCTCTCATTTACTTATTATTCTTTTTAAGAAGTCTAAACAAAAATTTCTGTTAGAGAATTTTTTTTTTTATTGCAATGAAGGGAGCCAATTGCACCAATCAGATTCGGAAAAAGCAAGTAAACTTTCAAATCCAATTGGTGTAATTTTCGGGCTAGTTTGTAAACAGAAGAAACATGGAGAATAATCCTGTAAAAAAATTTAATTTCAGAAATCTTTATAGTGCTTAAAATTTTTGGTGAAACTGAAAAGCTAGGTACTTAAAGTAAATATTAAAATTTCATTTACCAGTATTTAAGGAGAACAAAATCGTTACTTATAGTTGCTTTCAATTAATTTATGTGGTTCGTAAAATTGTGAATATTAAATGAGATTATATTTTCTTATATAGTTCGTTCACCAGGAGTTGGCTCTTGACTCCACCTCCTCGAACGAAAAGTTCATTTCAGTGCGGGTTTAAGAGGAGAAACGTCTCCGCGCTTGAAATTGAGACAACTCTTTTTCAGTCACTTACTTCACTTTATCATCTGCTATTGTTACTCTTGCTAATTAAATGTAATTTAAATTTAAAAACTGCCGTTGTCCCAGCGAAGTGTCTCAAAAAGGACAAACTATTCACTTAAAAGAGAGAAATATCATCAAATTTATGAAATATTTAATGTTAAAAAAATGCACATAAAGATTGCGAAATAAATATTTTTGCCATACGATCGCCAAATAGCAACCTTGTTCAAGATTATTCACATCCTTCTCCCAAAAATAGCGAAATAGTATCGCCGAATACCACGTGATGAAGGCGGAGCCAAGTGCCAACTCCTGGTGAACGAACTATACCTCTGTTTTTCACATTTTATTATCTGATAAGCAAGTAAACCTACCTATGAGCAATTAATTATGTTCAAGCAGTAAAAAAGAGAGGTTCTTGGAGTTCACTAAGTGTTTATTTGAATAAGGGCACTTTTAAAAAGTAAGTAACTCAAGTTATTGCAAATGCGAACTTCTCTTTCTGTTAAACACTTGAAAAACTGATCTGTATCACTTTTTGCGTACATGTATTTAGATATTACCTTCTTCCTATTTAGGCATAGTGTTTAACAAATAAATAGTGCATAGAATTTTTCAATTGCTAATGAAAAATTGTGTACTAAACAATTAATTAATTGTAATTAAAATTTGAGAAATAATTAGAACAGGAAATTGGGTATAATATAGCCTACGTCACAGGTTGTGTTGTTCCTACTAAATTTAACCCATGAACAATATTAAGCTATAATTTTCCTCAGTGGTAGTAACTAACGAACATGAACAGTGGTAACAACTAATGACATTGCAATACTAAAACATTTGAACATAGTTTCTTAAAAAAACAGTAAGAGATGTGTTAAAAATATCAATGTTTTTTTAGCTAACTCGTTAAAAATGTTGTTAAAAAAATTGTTATAAAGTTGTTATAAAGATTTTTTTTAGATAATTTACACAATGAGATCAATAATGTNTATATATATATAATAAGGAACTTTGTTTTTTCATTTGATTTAAAAATTCTTTCACATTTTGAAAATATTACAAAATCAAGATAAAAGGGATTAAGTAAGTACACTATCGCCATGTTAAAAAATTTGGCTCAGCATTTGGCGTGAAAAAAAATTGTGTTCTCAATAAATCTATTTCAACATAGTTTTTCGAAATATTTGTTTGATTTTTAAAAATGTCCCTTAAAAATTTATTAGAACAAAAATGATTTATATCCGAGGCACATTACAATACATACAGACTTGAATTATCGGCTATGTTTTCCAACATCAATTCTAATTCTACGAAATATTCTAAATTCTTCCCGCCTTTTGGCATCAAATTCTTGACCAAATCATTTGGACCAATCACCATTTCTCCTGTTCAAATAAATAAATAAATAAATAAAAAAATACATGCGCATAATCAAATAAATTTAAAATTAGAGGTTTTAACGTTTAAAACTTTTTACATTGTCCTAAATATCATGTATTTTAACAATAAAATTTGAAACAAAAAAAAAAGTCTCAGCTCTGAATTTCGTTTTCTCGGACGCTTTTGTACGGATTTTGTACAAATTTTAGAATTTTGTCATTTAGAATTGCATGTTTTTAGATAAATTATAATTTTTATAACTTACAATCGAAGCAATTTTATGCATTAAATTATATAATAAAAAATTTATAATGAAGCCTAAATACTTATTTTTGAATGAAATTACTGTTTGGCATATTTTAAGTATAATTGAAAAACAATTAGTTTCGAAAATGGGGTGAAATACGCGAAAAGTAAAAATTATATTAAGGGAAAGCTTTCGACAGCTCTCCTGACTAAACTGTTAGGACGGTTAGGATTCCATAGTAAAAATAATGAGTAGAAATTTAAATACATCCATAAAATTGTATGCATTCCATATATTTATTTTAAGTGGATTCCTCACTATAGAGCAAAATTAATGGTCGTCCCGAACTACAAGATGTCTAAATATAAAAAAAAGGCGACTAAAATCTTTTTTGTTTACCGCCAATTTTTTTTTAACACGAGCGATTAAATTTCAAAGAGGCCGGATCATGCTATTGGTCGAAAATGACATCACTACTTGTAGGAAAAGAGGTACGTATTGGCGATCGAAATGGGCTACAGGTGGCATAGAACAGAATTCTCTATCTATGACAACACTTTCACCAGTAGCGTGTGGAGAGTCATAAGGGCAAGAAGTACATTAGTTTCTGTCTTAATTTTCAAACAGCTCAAGAAATTCTAAGTTTGGAAACAATATGGAACCAAAAGCTAAGTTGAACATAGTTCTAAAAGAAAACATCGTGGAAATTATAAGAAATATTTTTTGACAGTTAAAAACCAGAAATACACTGGTGGACAAAATTAAGAGATGGAAAGCATTTTCGCACATGCAAGATACCCGCACACCGCTCCATGTGTTTGACAATGGTTCCGTGAATGCCCAGAGGTACAGGCAGGAAGTCCTAGAGACCTATGTGCGTCTTTTCAGGGGCACTGTTGGCCCTGAGTTCATTTTTATGGACGACAATGCGCGGCCACGTAGGGCTCTCATGGTTGATGAGCATCTGGAAAGCGAGGATATTCAACGAATGGATTGGCCAGTCAAATCCCCTGACCTGAATCCGGTTGAACATGCTTGGGATGCTCTTGGGAGAGCTATTGCGATGCGCCAACGTCTCCCCAGAACCATTCTGGAGTTAAAAATTGCTCTGGTGGAAGAATGGGAGGGTCTTCCACAAGTAACTCCCTTATTAACAGCATGCATACTCGTTGTGCACGCTGTCTGTCTGTCAGGGGTGACTTTACACCATACTAGAGGCAACACACACTGTACAAGCCTCACTTTTATTGCCATCTTTTATCCTTAAGTTCAGACTACACTGGATTTATTGGCAATAGATCTTGCCAGCGAATGGCACTTTCATTTTTGTTTTGCATACTTTATTATCATGGAATAAGCTATCTCCATACCAAATTTCATTTATTTATATTCAGTATTTTTTGAGATATTTGGGAAAATGTCTTCCATCTTTTAATTTTGTCCACCAGTGTATTAAGAAAAGGGATAATATCGTAGTATTATCTTATACAGTTAAGAAGTAAGTAGGAGAGGGTCAAGACCTGGAACCGGTCTTCTCCCTAGATGGGCTAAGCGTTTCGATCGCAAATAATTTCATCATTATAATTATTTCACGGCAAATAAATTTTATGTTGCATCATTACTGGTAATAAGTAGAATTCTCGAGGTATACTTACTTTTAAACATTTTGTGGTGAGTTTCCATGATTGGGCATCTATCCGCGGGTCCTTCACTTACGTTTGATTTTATTACTGAAGACAGTAGCACCCAAACATACAGCCTACATTTAAATGCATGTTATATGATTTAAAGTACTGCTGACATAATAATACACAATTAACTGAAAACAAATAGAAATATTTAAATGAAAAACCTTGTCTATTAGGTGAGTAAATTAGTTTTTAAAAAATGAACCAATGGAGCGGAGTAAATGAATTAAAAAATTCACCAATATAATTGAAAACATGTCGAATATTAAATAAATATGAACGAAAAACTCGTTCTTTTTAGGAGGTGAGAAGAAAAGAAAAGAATCATAAATAAATCAATGCTCGAAATCATGCATAAAATTAAAAGTCTATATCAATACAATTTCTATTTATGCTGCCTGCAAAGTATGAAACGCCGGCATTCTATAAAATGTCTAGTATATAACGCCGGATGTTTTTAGGCAAGGTATGAAATATGAGAAGTATTACACTTTCCCTAGGTATTGTATATAATACCTAGGCATTCTATAGAATGACAAATGCTATTTAGGCAAAGTATGAAAAAAACGTCATGATGACGTTATTATGTAAATGATGTGCATATATATAATAACCTCACCAGGATATATATATATATATACAAAAAAAAGAAATATATATATATATATACACTGGTGTGCAAAATTTAAGCAACAAGTGCGTTTTTTGTCATAACTCTACAAGAAATCATTCGATTGGCATGAAATTTGAATATGAAGTACATTATTTTGTACTTAAACGATGGTAAAAGAATAATAGCGCAGAAATGAATATAAAGCTTAAAGTAGGGTATGGAACAAAAAAAGGCTTTATTTGACACATGATTCCATGAAGAAGCGTAAGTACAACTGGCAGATGTTCCCTAGTATGGGATATGCCCTCCCCTTACTGTAATTGTTGCTTGGTATCGTCTCTCCATGCTAAGCACCAGATTATCCAGAAGTTCTTGGGGTAAACGTCTCCATTCCTCCTTTAACGCATCGTTCAGCTGATGGGTGTTACCAGGCGGATACTGTCGTGTCGCAAGACGTCTCCCTAATGCATCCCACGCATGCTCTATGGGATTTAGATCTGGAGAGTAAGCTGGCCAATCCATTCGTGCGATATCTTCACTTTCCAGTAGCTCTTGAACATTAGCAGTACGGTGTGGCCGGGCATTGTCATCCATAAAAATGAAGTCTGGTCCAATGGCCCCTCGGAACAGACGCACATGGGGTAGGATTACCTCATTGCAGTAGCGGTCTCCAGTTACAGAACCTCGGTCGAAGATCTGAAGCTCAGTCCGCCCGTTCTACAACATAATGCCACCCCAGACGACAACTCCAGGACCACCGTAACGATCTCTTTCCGCGATGTTATTGGGATGAAATCGAGCTTCAACCTCTCTCCTGATCAACTGACGTTGAGAATCGCTTGTAGCACTAAAACGACTCTCATGTGTGAAGAAGATGCGACTCCATTGATGAGGTATCCAGGTTTCGTGTTCTCTGCACCACTCTAAACGGTGCCGCCGATGGCTAACTTTTAAAGGTATGCAGCGTTCAGGACGTCTAGCAAATAAGCCCACCTTTGTGGAGGCGTCTGGCCACTGTAAATCTTGATACTTGTCGTCCTGTGGCTGTGCACAGTTGCTGAGATATGGCGCTCGCTGACTGAAAACGGTTTCTTTTCGCCTGGAGGACAAGGCAACGGTCATCTCTTGGTGTTGTTTTCCTTGGACGGCCACCACCAACTTTCCGAACAGCTGTACCAGTAGTTTTAAAGGCATTCCAAGCACGAGAAACAACACTTTTGTTGATCCCGAACTCTTCAGCGACACTGGTCACACTACGCCCCTCTTCAAGCTTCCCAATCATTCTTCCTCGAGTAAAGTCGTCTAAATGATTTCTTGAAGACATGTTTCACAAAACAAATCACTTGCACTTGCAGCGAATGTCTTTAACTACGGTGCTCTTCATCCTTTTATCACAGCCGACCCACAAGTTTTACGAACACTTACATTACCTACGACGTTTTATTTCTAAAATTTGCATACAAATAATCTTTCTACTGAATTACGTGCATATTATACTGCAATTTCATGGCTATCTTATACTTTGTTGGGGAGATGTGGCCGAAAAACCAAATGATGCTTAAGTTTTACACACCAGTGTATATAAAATGTGTCATTGATCACCTTTATAAACCAATTGCGATTGTTTTTGAAATTCAAATTTGTTTGAAAGTAGTGCGATTTTAAGAGTTTTTTTTTACTTCTTTTTGCATTAGATAATCGTTTACCCATTATTGAAGAAAGACTTATTTATCTCTCTCGATATTTTTATTTTATAAGTTCACACCTGACTTGATTTCAAAAACAACACAAAAGTCAATAAATAAAATATCTAAAAAAATTGGCGAGAGAGACATTTGATGTTACCATATATAAATTTATTTTATCGATATTTTTATATATTTGTATAGATATTATATTATATCGATATAATATAATATCGTATTATTATATTTGTATTGATATTTTTAAAATATGAAAGACTCGAGAGAAAAGAAAGACTAGAGAGATAAAAACTGTTTCCAGTTTGAACAGTTATAGAATACGTAAGAATTACAATGAGAAACGAACCGGTTACCTATAAGCCTTAGAGTGCTTGATTACAGTCTGCGGTTTGGCAACAGTTTAGTTATAGGTTGCTGACTGTTATCCTTGGCTATTTTTAAGAGCAATAACCTGCAGTAATGATATGAGACGGGATGGCTCAGGGGATAGAGCGCTAGCGTCCCAATGAGATGATCCAAGTTCGAATCACAGCGATAGCTGGTAAATGCCGTTCCCGGTTGACCACAGTGCTAACATAAAATAGCCTTAGTGATTGCTAGATCATGGGTTAAAATCCCCTGGTCGTCAGCCTTACAGTGTAAGATTTTCGTGTTTTTCTCTTCCATGTAACGCAAATGCAGTAATAAAATAGCTTCTTCAATAACTAGTTTGTCCCGATGCATAATTCGGGAGTTACCTTGTTTTCCGATTTGGTTTTAAAACTTCAAGGCTAGGCGGCTGATAGTCGTAAACCCAAAATATGATTCGGTTGCTCACTGCTGATTATAAGATAAAATAAAATACAGTAATTATAGGTTGCGACACCATATAATAATAGTTTTAAAAAAATGTTAAATAAATCTCCTTACCTTTTCAACGAATAAAAAGACCAACTGTTATTGTTGAGAAAAGAATATTTCCTTGCCATGACAAAATACAAGATAGAACAACAAAAAATTGATAATTCATAAGAAAAACATTTTGCAACAAGTCATAACTGTTCGAAGATTCACTGATTATAGTTTCGGACAAACTTGTTGCATCGAATGTAATTAAGAGAAGATTTAGTGATAGAAAATTTTTAGTGATAAGATTTCAGGGTAAAATCAAGCTTGTGCAAATACAGCTGCTAACCTAAAAATATTTATTTCAAGAAAAAAATAAAATAAAATACTTATCACCTAGTAGATGAGATTAAATATTTTGCTGCAAAATCATGTTTAATGCTCGTACGAATTAGATTAGTTAAAATATAATTAAGATCTTTACTTTCAACTTATATAAATTAATATAGTGATTTTAAAAAATCTGAATGATTGCATAACACATGGAAAAGTTTAATAAACTAGGACAGTACGATTATTTCATAGTAAGTGATGCAACTGCATGTAGTAAATTTGATTTACTGCGCTATGATGTTTGCGCATTTATTTATTTATTTTTATCCCATTTGAAATCTTATTACACTGGACAACTTTTCCGCACTAAAGAAATCCAAAACTAAGTTTTTTTTCTTCTTTTTGTTATCAAACTTATAATATATTTTAACTTTAACATTTGTAGTTTTTAAAAAGATGAAAAATTTAATTCTAGAGAAAAAAAAACGTTTCATAATTGATCTGCTATTATGATATAAGGTTATTCTAATTTATCGTTTCGAATTCTAAGTTTTATAAACTATTTCTAATTTTAATCCACCTATTGTGTTACGCAGTTTTTATTCGTAAGTTAAATTATTTTTTAAATATTATTAATTATTAATCACGAATATTATTAATTATTTCAAATATTATTAATAAATATTATTTTTCAAATCCATGTAATCGTTACGATTAACATAATTGTTTAATTATCAAAATTTTAATAATGTCAAAATGTTTTTCCACGTAATTATAATCATTTATTTTTTATAACAAAATCATCTTTGTTTTTCGAAAAATATTGACTTTTATGAAAAACATAAATGAATGAAAATTAATAACAGTGGATGGTGAGCAGAGAGGACTAAGCTTCCTAATCTTCAAATATTAAATTACCAGCAAAAATTTCAAAACCTCTCGATGTCTCATATATTGAGCTCATTTACCCAAACTAAAAAATAACTATTAAATAATTGACTATGTTGAGTCCCGCAGTGGGTTGATCGTTAAGTCACGGTTCCCAACAGATCGCAGAAGTCAAGCATCAGTAGCTGTGGTCAGTGTGGGGTTGGGTGACCACTTGGATCAGTCTGCGTATGGACCGAGAGAGTGCGGTATTGTTCCTTGTTAAACTGTTCTACCGTAAAGTG